ATATATATATATATATTCAATAGAATTATAAAACTATTGAAACTTTTCATTTCATTACGAACATGTAAAAAACGTAGACAAAAATATCGAAGTTTAATGTTATTTAAAATTAATTAAATTACTGAACACGATTAGAAATACTTTTTTCAGACCGTTCAGTCGTGTCAGATTCACTGGTGCCTGAAAATAGACATCTAACGAATATTTGCCTTCATTTTCACAGCGGAACTCACGACGCGAAATTTCCGCTGCGGACATTCCCCCTAGGCCGCGAAACTTCCGCATCGGTCTGTGGGAGCCTGAAAGTCTTCCATCGACCGGCGCGGAAGATCCGCAGCGGGTGCGGCGTGGAAAGTGCCGCGTTTAGACGCAGCGATGAATGCGCGGGACCGTTTACACAGGAGCGTCAATTATGACTCGGCGTTTGGTGTCAGTTTTCCTCATCCGATGAACAAAATGGTCTAATGCTCTAAGAGTAAAAGTCTTCTATTCATTCACGATATAGAAAATGCCAATACTCGTAGTACGTTTTCTGAGCACATGCGGCACGGTGCTTCTTTATCTAAGATTTTCCATTCAGAATTTTCATGCATCTAAGGAGGCGAGTATTAAATGAACATTGCAGTTGTGGCTGTTTAATGAAACAGTTTAAACAGTCCGAAAATTTAATTTGTATATATTAGTATTAAAAAGAAGGTCAGGAAGTTGTAATTTGTAATTTTTGAAGGAATGTATATACTGTTTTGTTTAATTGTTTATGAAACAAGTTTATTACAATAGCCTGAAGACAATATATCAAAATTGTCGAAACGTTGTGTATTTGAAGATTTCATTAAAATGAGAAAGTGAAAAATTTTAATTTGTCATTTAAGCCAAGAAATAAAGGGGTAAGATGGAGTATTAGCTGAAAATGGGACTAGAACCATAATTTTTTACTGTTCCTTGATACATATGAGAACAAAATTTAAAGAAAAAATTGAGAAAATAATTGTTGCGAAAATAAAATCGTATTCTCGAAAAATTGAACATGACCGAGTTTCGAGATCTGTCTTTAAAGAACAGATTTCATTATGGAAAACATCTTTATATTCAATATTGTGGTTGTTGGAAGATGGAGAAAAAAATCCTGCAGTTTTGCAATTTTCGAAAAACCAGGGATTTCAACAAACATGAGACCTGCACCATTCTCTTAAGCATTCTTTACACTATCCAAAAACAGTCTAATAAAACAATTTGATGCCATTTTTGACAAGTTTGAAAATATTTTTTGAGGTTTCATGTAAAGCACCTTCAAAAATCAAAATATCGATTTGAAACCCTCGAAGCCTCAAGTTCAGATAGATCTGAGAATATCAATTTTTGGAGAAAATGGCGGAAGGGTTTAGAGGCAATCGTTGACCATGGACGGATGGAGGGTCGTACAGACGTTTTGCTGTCAGTCGATTTTTTGGTATCAAGGATCAGCAAAACATAGTTTGAGGATACACCATGAGTTAGAGGAAGTAATTTACTGTATATAGGAACAGGATTTATTCACTTTTACAGAATAAACTGTTATGCTCCCATCTAAGCAGGTTTCTAAAACACCAATCTACAACTGACCATTTGAACAACATCCAAAACAAAATTTGCAATGCATCTATTGCTAATTATCACAATGAAGCAATTTTCCTTGGCATAGAAAATGTACATATGACGAGTAGAGAATGCATACTTCTAGTACTCGGAAACCTGGGCATCAATGGTAAACTCCTGAACTTTGTAAATAACTTTATGACCATCTCTTTGACCTTATGACTCCATTGACGCATCCACGTTCAAATTAAAGGTTGTTAATAAGATGAAACAACAATTCAAAATGATATACCACAAAATCTGTTTAGAACATTACTCCTTTTCTGATTTCAGTTAGCAAAGCTCCTTGTCTTATACCACCTTCCATTAAAATACTTATGTGTGTGGATGATATCTGTAGTACTTCCTTTGGGGAAACCGCTAGTCACAACACAATATGACAGAAATAACAATGAAAAATGCACAGGATTTAGCTAACAATTTTGGGGTCAAAACATAAATCTGAATATATATATTTATAGTAACATACAAACTTGCAAGCTAAATGTTTTTGATAACTTAAAACTTTGATAAGTGGATGGATTATTTCTCTTTTCCTAGCACTTTGAGGTTTGATAGCATATTGAGGTTTGATTGAATTAAATTAACAATTCTCATGTAACAATTTTGTGCATTACATTGACTATTAATTATACATTAACTATGTATCGACAAAAATTATAACTGGAATAACAGTATAATTTGAAATGCCTAGAATTGAACAACATGGTTAAGATAGACATTTTTACTCATTGTTCATGATTAATATTCATTATTCAGCGAATTTTCTATGTACTATTAATAAATCTGCTACTTACAGGCTTTAGCATTGAAGGACCATCACAAGCAAAAATTGACTGCCATGATAATGGAGATGGTTCAGCAGATGTTAGATATTACCCTACTGCTCCAGGAGAGTATGCTGTACATATTTTGTGTGATGGAGAAGACATTCCAAAATCTCCTTATGTTGCTCAAATTTTGCCAAACACTGATTATTTCCCAGACAAGGTGAGATATTTAATAAAGAATTTGTTTTAATATTTGGGGTTACACTATAAAATAATTTATTTTTAAACTATCAAAACTTTAACACAAAGTTGTTTTTTTTTTTTGTTTGCCTACGTCAGGATTATTTTATAATATAAACACATTTTTTGTTTCAAATGATCTATATTGTTCAATCAAAGAGTGTTGCAAAATTATTAAATAAATGGTTTTGTAAGCTATTTGGAGATTTCCAATTTTCCTTCAAATACTTAAAATTTGTATTTTTATTGTTTCTTTTCTCCAGCCAACAACATTTCTTAGAATAATGACTGAATTTAATTTTGTTTATCACGGAATGAATAAAGAAGAGAAAGAAGAAGATTGGGACTTAATTGTAGCACCTTACCCACTAGTACCACGAAAAATTATTTATACACAGTGTCCAGGGAGGAAATGCCAAAACTTTGGAAATAAGCTCTTAAAGACAATTTTTAGCACATTAAGCACTTAAAGACAATTTTTTAGTGCTTATTGCGGCTCTGCCATTTGAAATATCCAAAGAGTTTATTAGATAAAATTTGCTTAAAATTGTCTTCATGATCTTATTTTTGAAGTTTTGAGATTTCCTCTGTGGACACTCTGTGTATAAATAATTCATCTTTAACCATGCTGTCATACACAGAATATGACCTATAAATACTATATTAATATTTATAATATAATATATCATAGAATCCAATTCATCTTTTTGGTAGAAATTTGCCTATTCATCTTTTCTTCCCTGAAAAATTCCTCCCTAGTCTTTATATCTCAGTGTTCCATAACACTAAACTAACACTCTTCCTACCGCAATGTAGTTTATAAATGACACCTAATTCCTATTTTCATTAGTCATTAATGTATACTGACAAGACAACTTTCATGTTGAATTTAGAATAAACACTAGATTAAGTAATACTTAAGAAAAAAAATCGGATCAGCTTTCTAAAGCCATAATTTATTTATATATTTTATGAATGAAATTAGAAAAAACAATTCAGTAATTTGGATACAATGTTTTTTGAATTATATAATCTATGTCAAAACATATTATGTTGGCATAAGTGGCATTGCTTACACCTATTTTCTCATGTTTTAATTGCATTTCACTTTCACATGTCATTTCTGTATGAATTTTCAAAAATAACATGACTAGTTTCTTGAAGAGAGCAGTGAGGCAGTCCACTGAGAGCAGTGTGTGATGGGAAGAACAGGGCAAGGATAGGAGAGGAGCAGAATGTGGTATAGAGGGTGGGGGGTGGCAGGGATGAGACTAAAATTATTCCATTTTGCTTTATTCACAGAATTTATTCCATATAATTGAAAATTGTGATAAATAAATACCCTGGTGACAAGTTAATTCAACTAGTTGTTAATATTTTTAAAGTGAAAGAGCAATTCATCACCTCTTTGTGAAATTTTCTTTTCACTCTTTGATTAGGAGTCTTCCATAAATTACGTTATACCAAACATGGGGGAAGGTGATTTGAGGTAGTGTTACGCTGTGATACATAGGTCTAGAGGGCCATTTTCTTTGTAACGCTAATTTTTTTCAGCATTTGTTGAAATAATTCCTTTTTTCAGTCTTATACTTAACTTTAAAATATTAACTAATTACTGTTTAAAAATTAAATAAACATTAGTGGTTATGTATAAATTTTTACAATAAATGGGAATTTTTTCATTCGTTTTTTTATTGAATTATGTAAGATAACAAAGAAAATATTTAAAACTGATCTATTTTCTAGAATTCAATTAAATTAGTAGACTTTCCCCATGCGACGTTCACAGGACATGTGAACAGCTTGTTGTCAAACATTTTCATGTCTATGCATTCTTCTTTCACTCAAAAATTGTCCCTTATCTTATTGTTAGGTGGAGTCAACTACTTCTGACTTCAATTTTCACAAATTTAATATATAAACACAAATAAAATTAATACAAATTATTTTTACTGTTATATAATGTATTTTTACTTCTTGTCAATGGGTGATGTTATCGTGGGTGTTATGTAATTATTTAGGGAAATTCAAGTGCATGTTATGGGTGCGTTACAGGGGGAGAGGCGATATTCAAAATGCTCAAAATTTGTCTTACTTCATTTACGGACTGCCTCTTATGGAGTTTGGTTGAACGAGAGACACAAAATCTATTCTGCAGAAATAATGTATGTAATAATTAATTTCTTTGTTCTGTTTAGGTGGAATGTTATGGCCCAGGCCTCAAACCTGATGGAGTAGCGAAAGGAAAGTCTACAGAGTTTACCATTGACACCAGGAAAGCAGGCTCTGCTCCTTTGGATGTTCAGGTACTGTGAATTTGAACTTTTGAGTGTTTCTTTTTGTGCACAGAGTATGATATGTATGTATCTGTCTACCTTTTGGAATTTTTTCCTTTTTATTTTCAGGTTTTAGATGCAAACTGTAACTCGGTTGGTGTGAACATCAGAGATAATAGGGATGGCACATTCAAGGCTGAATATGTTCCTAAAGCTGGTGCAAGTCACACTATCCAGGTAATGGTCTTTAGTAGTATGTTTATTATTGAGGATCACCTTCTTATTAAAACAATTTGTGTGCACCTGTAATTGGTGTACCATGTCTTATCTCAATCTCTTGCTTGAGATTGTCTTCACTGTTCTGAATTTCTTGATGAAAAATGAAGCAAAGGGAAAACAGATCAGGATCTATCTACAGTAATGATCGTAACTTGGGTTTCTTGTCATTTTGCTAGCTTAACACTATTTCATCACAATAACTTTGGTCTTTCATTCCTAAAATGAAAAGGAACATGTTTGTAGATTTGTATAGGCCAACATAAATGATTCAGCTCATGACTGTAGTTCAGTGCATTGTTTGGGTGTCATACAGGAACATTTTTGGTGGTTACGGTTGTAAAAATAAACACTAACACCTTCATTACAACATAAGAAAATTATTTCAATTTTCCCTTTAATTATGATTTTAATTTAAGAGAATATTTAATGCATATGTTGAATGTATAATGTTTTGTGTGTGTGTGTGTGTGTGTTTGGAATCAAACAATATTTTTGTAAACCAATTTTATAGTTAGGAACACAATGACTTCTTTTAACATTTTCTAAAAATACACAAATAGAATAGAATATATAATGTGTCTGATAATCATTTAGTAATTGTTTGCAAGAAAGATTGCATTTTTCTAAATGTTACAAATGTTAAATGACTCGATCCAATCTTCCTTTTTGTTGAGTGATTTCAAACCCTTTTTTCACTTGCTGTGTGGCAAGACTTTCTTTTCTCTGAATGTAAAATGTTATAGATTGTAGCAATGAATTTTACTGTAGTGACTACTGAGATTGTGTCTTACTTTCTTTAATGTGCATGGACATTAATTCTCAATAGAAACGAGAATTACTCTAAAGGGAAGGAATGCTTAACTCACTTAATTTTTTTCCCCTTAGAAATTGAATGTTGTGAACAATTTTCCACCTCTGCATTATCGTATAGATCATCATGACCAATACAAAGACAAATTGGTGTCTCTTTTACAAGGCAAAAAAATTGCATGGAGATGGTCTGTTTTAGTGGAACACTTGAATTGGGCACTAAGTCTGTAACATGTTTCACGAATATCTACAAATTTTATCTCTTTTAGGAAAATCTCTACATGCTAATTTTTTGCACATTTGTATCAATTAACAGTATTTTAAATAATGTTCTGTTGTGTTGCCCTGTTTATATTCCATCAATTTAAGGATAATTGCCCTTTTTTTAGGGATAATTGAGAGTTTTGTATTTTTTTTTTTAATGCAGTTTGCAAATAAGTTAGAGAAATAAATGCCAATACACCCACCCTTAAAAAAGCTCTGTACATTTGTATATTTCTTCACTAGTAGACAGTGTCAATCTTGCCTCCCTTCACCTTAAGTCACTGCTTTCTAATTATCATTATCCCTTCTGGGATAAGCATGAGTTGGTTTCTGGTCTAAATTTCTAATGACTCTTTTACAGGTTAATTATGGAGGTGTTGCAACCAAAAATAGTCCATATCGTGTATTTGTATCCGAACCACTGAATCCCTCAAAAGTGCAAGTGTTTGGCCCTGGAGTGGAAAAAGGTGTTAAATCAAACACTCCAACCCATTTTAACATAGACTGCAGAGAAGCAGGTCAAGGTAATTTTTAAGTGCTTTCTCTGTCTCTGCATCACCATCTCTCTGTCTGTGCCTCACCATCTCTCCCTTCTCCCTTTCTCTCCCTTTCTCTCTCTCTCTCTCTCCC